CTTGGACAGTCCAGGGGCCCCTATTTAAACCAGGGGGCCCCCTTGGACAGTCCAGGGGCCCCTACTTAAACCAGGGGGCCCCTAACATACAACATAGAGGGGCCCCTATAGAAACCAAGGAGCCCCTAACAAAACCAGAGGGGCCCCTAACAAAACCAGAGGGGCCCCTGAAGGGGCCCCCAGTAACATTAGAGGGGCCCCTAATAAGGCAGAGGGGGCCCCTAACAAAACCAGAGGGGCCCCTAAGAAAGCCAAAGGGGACCCCTCATAACCGAGGGGGCCCCTAACAAAACCAGAGGGGCCCCTAATAAGGCAGAGGGGGCCCCTAATAAAGGAAGGGGCCCCTAATAAATAGGGGGCCCTCATAAACGTAGGGGACCCTAATAAAGAAGGGGGCCCCTAATAAACGTAGGGGCCCCTAACAAAACCAGAGGGGCCCCTAATAAACCAGGGGGCCCCTACGAGGGGGCCCCTTATAAACGAAGGGGCCCCCAATAGAGGAGGGGCCCCCTCAGATAGAAACAACGGGGGCTGATCCTAAGGCATGACCTGTGAAGAGGTCTCGAGGTAAGACTTGCAAGCCCCAGTAGACAACACCAACTGTGCGGCGGAAGCCTTTGCTGCTGCAGCTGCTGCAGCAGCAGCAGCAACTGCAGCCGCCATCCCCAGGCGCAGCAGCCCCGCACACTATCCGCTGCTGCTGCTGCTGCTGCTGCTGCTGCTGGAGGATCACGTCAATGCAGGAGACGGAGCAGTTGGGGGAGAGGAAGTAAATAGGCTGCTGCGGTGGTGCGTAGAGGGCGTCTGCAAGGCGGCAGCAACCGTTTTGCTGCTGCTGCTGCTGCTGCAGCAGCTGCAGCAACTGCTGCTGCTGCTGCTGCAGAAAGGAGCAGCAGCAAATTCCCGCAGCAGGCGCTGCTACAAAAGCCTTTAAAAGTATATCCATCAGCAACCCATGCCCAACTAGCAGCAGCGCTCCGTCGCTTCTTAGAGCTGCTGCTGCTGCTGCTGCTGCTGCAGCATCTCCTGTCACAGCTAAGGCGTCCCCTGCTGCTTCTGCAGTTTCTGTTGTTGCTGCTTCTGCTGCTGCTGCAGTGTCTGTACAGCCAGAATGCGCTGTTACGCTGTCTATCCACTTCACCAGCAGCAGCAGCCTTCTCAATGTCCCTAACAATGTCTCGCGGGGCCCCAACCACCAGGGGGCCCCTCTAAGGAGGCCCTCTGAGCTGTACCCTCCCCCGAGAGGGGCCCTGCAAGATGCTGCTGCGAGGCAGTTGCTGCTGCTGCTGCTGCTGGTCCCGCCCTCGTGGCAGCCACATGACGCGACCCCTGCTTTGCTGCTGACATCAGGTCCAGCTGCTGCTTTTGTTGCTGCTGCTGCTGCTGCTGCTGGCGCGGCTCTTGCTGCTGCAGCAGCTGCACAAGCCGGCCATGAGATCCCAGCAGCAAGTACTGCTCCGGGGCAGATTTCCTGCATCTGCTTCCACGTGAGCCCCAGCTGCTGCTGCTGCTGCTGTTGCTGCAGCGCAGGAGCAGCAGCAGCAGCAGCAGCAGAGTCTGCTGCTTCTCTCTCTCCTTCAAAGAGTCCGCCTGCCTCAAACAGCAAGGGGTGAATGATAACAGGTACCTTCAGCTGCTGCTGCAGCTCTCGGGCTGTCTGTACACCTCGCAGCATCGGAGACGCAACAATTGCTGCAATGCGCGGGTTGGGTGCATTCGCCTGCTGCTGCTGCTGTTGCTGCAGCTGCTGCTGCTGCTGCTGCAGCCAGGCACCAGCAGCAGCCGCCTGTTGCTTCCCCAGATCCGTCAAGGGAGCGTCAGGAATCCGTGCAGTGCTGCATCCGCGCTGTTGCTGCTCCTGCTGCTGCTGCTGCTGTTGCTGCTGCTGCTGCAGCTGCTGCTGCAGCTCTGGGATGTCTAGTTTGCTGCGCCTGTTGTTTACAGACTGCGCGTGACGAACGAAGTACCAACGCCGCCTTTTTATTACTCCCTCCATTGCTGCTGCTGCTGCTGCTGCTGCTGATGCTGCTGCTGCTGCTGTGGCTGCTATAGCTGGTGTTGCTGCTGCGCAGAGTCCCCCGTTGATCATTAGGTGTTGTGTTGCAGCTCCCGTCGCGATTGCTGCTGCTGCTGCTGCTACTGCTGCTACTGCTGCTTCTGCTGCTGATGCCTTCAGGTCAAGAAATGCTGTTGAAGCATCAGCTGCTCGTTGCTACTCGCGCTGCCATAGCTGCTGCTGCTATTGTCGTGGCTCTCGCTGCTGCTGCTGCTAGGGCTCTCGCTGCTGCTGCCGCTGCAGCTTGGGCTCGTGATGCTGCTGCTGCTGCTGCTGCTGCTCCTGCTGCTTCTCTTTTTATTCCTCACCAGGACAAGGGCATCTGGGAGAAGTCTTGAGGCAGCGGTGGCTGCAGCAAACCGAAGGGGTGCACGCTGGGGCTTGAGATGTCTGTACACCGGAGCTGCAGCTTTTGCTGCTACGAACCCAGAAGCGCTTAAGAGTAGCAGCATCTACTGCAGATGTTGCTGCTGCTGCTGATGCTGCTGCTGCTGTTGCTGAGGAGGTGCCCTGAGCAGCTTTGGCTCTGCTCATGCAGACAGCCGTCGCCGACACTGCTGCTGCTGCTGCTGCTGCTGCTCGATCTGCTGCAGCTTTTTCAATGTCTGTGTATGCCGCTGGATAATTAAAATGAATAATAAATTGAGAAAACAGCAAGCGGTAGCTCAGGCGGTCTTCTTTTAGCTCCTCACACGCCTGCAGGGATTGCTGCAGCTGCTGCTGCTGCTGCTGCTGCTCCTGCCGCTGCTCCTGCCGCTGCGGCTGCTGCAGCCTCGTTGCGCTTTCGCCTGGTGTGCATGCGCTTTTCAGCTTTGGGTTTTTTTGTCGTTGCTGCTGCTGCAGTGCTAAAGGACTCTTCCGGCGATAGGCCTTTGCTGCTGCCGTTGCTGCTGCTGCCGTTGCTGCTGCTGCTGCTGCACCACTGCGTTGCTGCTAAGGAGATAACGACCCCAGACGAGTAAGTGCCGGGGGCGCTGCACAGCAGCCGCTAGGGAGACGCGCTCCGCTGCTGCTACGTTTGCTGCATTTTGCTGCAGCAGCAGCAGCAGCTGCTGCTGCTTAGGTGCGTACGAGTGCTCTCTTCACTGCTGTTGAGGCCTTCCCTCTTAAGTGCAGCAGCTAGCTATAGAGAGCGCAGGCTGCAGCTAGCTATAGAGAGTGTAGGCAGCAGCTAGCTGCTAAGAGAGAAAAGGCAGCAGCTAGCAACGCTGGCAGGATGGGAGCAGCTGGCTAGCTGCACAGGGAGTAAGGGCGGTAGCTAGCTAGCTGAAGAGACGAGAGGAAGCAGCTAGCTAGCTACACCAAGAGAACAAGCAGCACCTAGCTGCAGGGGGAGGGCCCAGCTAGCCAACGTTTAGCTAGCTGGATTCGTGTGGGGTCGCTCCCGAGCTAGCTAGCTGCTGTACGCTGCCTCTGTGTGGCTAGCTGCTGCATGCATTGATTAGCTAGCTAGCCAGAGAGTAGCTAGCTAGCTGAACAGTGGTGCTGCTGGCTAGCTAGCCAGCCAGCTAGCCGGTGCGTGTCTAGCTAGCTGCTCAGCCCCTTGAAGAAGACAAAGAGACAGTTTGTATTAAATGCCCCTACAGCGTGGAGCGAGACAAAACGAAAAACAAACGCGTGCAGAGACAGCTAGCTAGCCGGCTAGCTAGCTGGTGCAGCGCAGTTATAGATAGCCAGCTAGCTTGTTAGCTAGCTAGCTAGCTAGCTGCCGACTGCCGGCTGGGCTGCGGTGGAGTAACCAGCCTGCTAGCTAGCTACTCTACCGCTAGCCGCTTCGCCAATTGAAAACTGTCTAGCTAGCTAGCTAACTGGCTAGCTAGCTGTAGGTGACTAGCTAGCTAGCTAGCTAGCTAGGTGAATAGCTAGCTAGCCAGTTAGCTAGCTAGCGAATCTTCTGCTAGCCCCTCACCGGCTGTATGTATCTGCATGCAAACAGACGCTTGGGGGCCTCTATTTGGGGTGTACAGACACAAGAAGAGAAAAGTTTCAATAAGAAGACCAGAGCTTAAAGCAGCCATCACAGCCTCTGCTGCTGCTGCTGTTGCTGCTGCAGCAGCAACTGCTGCAGCGTGACCCTGACGGGTTCTGCAGCGCCCAGGCGCTGCGCTGCAGCAACAGCAGCACGCAGTTCTGCTGCTGAGACCTCAATTGTCCCGTGTGGGTCTTGTGTCTGCTGCAGCAGCAGCCGCTGCTGCAGCAGCACCAGCAGCAGCTCGGCTGCCTGTCTCTGGTGGTCGTTCCCTGTCCCTGAGGCAGCAGCAGCAGCGGCAGCAGCAGCAGCAGCGGTAGCAGCAGCAGCAGGATTCAGCAAACAGCTGCCTTTGCCCGGGTTCTTCTGCAGCAGAGACACTACAACACCCAGCAGCAGCAGCAGCAGCAGCAGCAGCTCTCCCTAACGGAGTTTGTCTCCTTACCATCGGCAGCAGCAGGAGCAGCAGCAGCAGGAGCAGCGGGAGCAGCAAGCTGCAGCAAAGACAAAGCCAAGCACAACTGCGACCCCCGGACGGTTTCTGCTGCAGCTCGTGCCAGCAGCAGCAGCAACTCATCTCCACGCCGCAGCTGACACCCAGCAGCAGCAGCAGCAGCAGCAGCAGCAGCAGCAGAAAAAAGCTGCTTATCGCTGGCCTCAGGTTGGCAGGCTGACGACAGCAGCGCAAGCTGCAGGAGAGATACACCCCACAGATCAAACAAAACCGTTCTTTATCAATGAAGGTTTAAGGTTTAGGGTTTAGGGTTTAGGGTTTATGCCTCCTAGGGTTTAGGGTTTACTAGGACCTAGGGTTTAGGGTTTACTGAGGCCTACGGTTTACTTCTAACAGGGCTTAGGGTTTACGCTCTGCTACGGTGTAAGGGTTTCTAGGGTTTATGGTGCAGATTATTTTAGGGTTTAGGGTTTAGCTGTACTAGGGTTTGGTGTTTAGGGTTTAAGGGTTTGTGGTTTAGGCCTTAATAGGGTTTGCTAATAGGGTTTAGTGTTTAGGGTTTCGGTGTAACAGGGTTTAGGCTGTAGGGTTTGGGTGTAAGAGGGTTTAGGGTTTAGGCCTACTAGGGTTTAGGTGTTAGGTCTACTAGGGTTTAGGGTTCAGGGCGACTAGGGTTTAGGGTTTAGGTCTACTAGGGTTTAGGGTTTAGGGTTTAGGGTTTATCATTTGCTTACCATCTGCAGACAGCCGCGGAGTCCCTCGACTGCAGCTCTACGCACCCGCCCCCTCAACTCTGTTTCTGCTGCTGTTGTTTCTGCTGCTCCTTTTGCTGCTTCTGCCGCAGCTTCTGCTGCTGCTGTTGCCGTTGCTGTTGCTGTTGCTGCTGCTGTTGCTGTTGCTGCTGCTAAGTGTGGAGGCCTGCGGGGGGGCGGCAAGCCACGAATTAAACTACCAAACCCGAGAAGGGCATGCACAACCTCAGCAGCAGCAGCAGCAGCAGCAGCAGCAGCAGGATCCACGGATTCGCTGCAGCGGGTTTGCTGCAGCCTGTCTGCTGCTGCAGCCATCTCGGTCTTCACGTGCAGCAGCGTAGATGTTCCGCACTCTAGCACAGCAGCAGCAAGTCGGAGAGAAGACTTCTCCTGTTGCTGATGCTTGCGCAGCAGCTGCTGCTGTTGCTGCTGCTGCGCAGTGAAACGACGCGAAACAGAGGAAGCCTTCATGAACAAAGCAGCCCCCTTGGGGGCACATCTGCTTAAATAGTCACACAGCAAATCCACAAGCTGCTGCTGCTGCTGCTGCTGTTGCCGTTGCTGCTGCTGTTGTTGCTGCTGAGCTTCCGTTGCCCCCTGGAAGAGCTGCAGCGGATTTTGCTGCTGTTTTATGCTGCAAGCTGCTGCTAACAACGCGACGCCGGTGGCAGCCATTGTCTCCTCATCCCCTGTGCTGCTGCTGCTACTACTGTTGCTGCTGTTGCTGCTGCTTGGGGTTGATTTTGTAATCCCTAGTCTAAGGTATGCCTCAACTGCTACACTCAGCAGTCTCCTATAGACAGCAGCAGCAGCAGCAGCGTCATCTGTTGCTGCTGCTGCTGCTTCACTAGCTGCTGCTGTTGAGAAGACACCAGCAGCCTCAGTGCTGCGCTCACGGACAGCCGCAGCAGATGCTGTCTGCTGCAGCGCAGCTGCTAGTATCTCCACGTGCTGCTGCTGCAGCAGCTGCTGCTGCTGCTGCAGCAGGTAAAAGGATGCCTGAAAAGACGCAGCATGCAGCAGCAGCAAGTTCAGTGAAATGCAGCGGGATCTCACCTTTGCTGTAGCCTCTGCAGCTGCTGTTGCTGCTGCTGTTGTTGCTGCTGCTGCTGCGGTAGCAGCAGCTGCAGCAGCAGAACCAAAGCTCCGGGAGGGGAGGCAGCATTGGCTTTTCGGGTAAATAGCAGCAGCATCAGCAGCAAAAGAAGCAACAGCAGCAACAGCACCAGCAACAGCAGCAGCAGCAGCAGCAGACCTCGAGCAGCCTCGCTGTGTGGGACCCGGTGCTGCCTCCTGGTGCCGCTGCTGCTGCCTTCAGGAGGGAGGAAAGCAGCAGAGACACCTCGCGTAGAGACAGCGCAGCTCCAAGATCAGCAGCAGCAGCAGAAGCAGAAGCAGCAGCAGAAGCAGCAGCAGCAGGTGAAGAGGAATTTGTTGCCTCAACGACTGCACTGCCGAGTTCGCTGTTGCTGCTGCTGCTGCTGCAGCGCTTCGGTGGCAGCTGCTGCTGCAACAAGACCCCACTGAGGGTCTCAAGAGCCCTTCTAAACACAGCAGCAGGATCAGCTGCTGCTGCAGGAGCAGCTGCTGCAGCAGCAGAACCATCCTCCCACTGCTCCTCTACTCCTTGGTTGCCATTGCTGTTGCTGTTGCTGTTGCTGCTGCTGCTGTTGCTGCTGCTGCTGATGCTGGGCAGCGCAAATCCATCATCTTCTTCTGAGTCTGCTGCAGCTCTTACAGGGGCTGGAGAGAGGGTGACGCTGCTGCAGCTGTTGCTGCTGTTGCTGCTCTCCTGCTTAGCCGCAGCAGCAGCTACTGCTGCTGCCGTGGCTGCAGTTCCAATCCGTGTATGTGCTGCTGCTGCTGCTGTTGCTGGTGCTGCGAGGCACTTAGCTAAGGCCCCAGCAACAGTCACTAGCCGGGAAGGCGGCAGCAAACGGAGGGGCTCAGGTTCTATCAATTGCTGCAGCAGCACAGCACAACACAGACAAGCCAGCAGCAGCAGCAGTAGCAGCAGCAGCAGCAAGAGCATCAGCACCATCAGCAGCAGCAGCGGCAGCAAGAGCATCAGCAGGATCAGCAAGAGCATCAGCAGCAGCAGCAAGAGCATCAGCAGCAGCATCAAGAGCAGCAGGTGTGAGAAGCAGATATCGAACGTCAGTAGGAGAAGCAGCTGCAGCAGCAGCAGCAGCAGCAAGGACTGAACGTGCGCTGTGCTGCTGCTTCTTTCTTTCTCTCACCTCAGCAGCAGCTGCTGCAACAGCTGCAGCATTTATCTGGAGTGAAGAGACAGCTCCAGTGGTGCAGCAAGAGACAAATCGAGAAGCAGACAACAGCAAAGCTACGGGGGCCCGGACAGCAGCAGCACCTGCAGCTGCTGCTGCTGCAGGAGGCGGAGTCTGCAGCGGCAGCTGCTGCTCCGTTGGGAGAAGGCCCAGATGCGCCTGCATTGCCTGCTGCTGCTGTTGCTGCCGCTGCTGCTGCTGCAGCTGCTGCTGCTGCTTCTGCTGCTGTAATAAGTGCTGCAATTGCAAACGCACACTGGGCCTACTCATCATGAGGCCTGCAAGCGATATTGGTGGTGGTGCTGCTGCTGCTGCTGTTGCTGCTGGTGCAGCAGCAGCAGCAGCAGCAAAGGCATCAACGCGGTGCAGCAGCTGCAGCAGCTGCACTGTCTGCTGCAGCGACAGCAAGTGATTACAGTCAGACAGCCGCAGCACCAGACCCTCTAAGAGAGGCCTTAAACTTCTCAGGCACCGCAACTGCAGCAACTGCGCTGCTGCTGCTGTTGGTGCTGCTGCTGTTTCTGCTACTGATGTTGCTGTTGCTGAGCTTCCCGCTGCACCTGCAGCAACCGCTGCTAGCAGCGCAGTTGGTTCTGCTGCTGCTGCATGTGCTTCTGCTGCTTGCGCGTGTGCTGGTGCCGCTGCTGCTGCTGCTGTGGCTTCTGCTGCTGCTGTTGTTGCTTCCGCTGCTACTCCGCCTGTTGCCGCTGCTGCTGCTGTGTTGCTTTCTCTGTCTTGTAGCCTCTTGAGATGTTTCTGCTGCAGCGACAAACCCAGTTCGTATGCCTGCTGCAGTAGCTGCTGCTGCATTTGCTGCAGCAGCAGCAGCAGCTGACTCGCAGAGCGCAGCAGCAGCAAAATTTCTGCTGTTGAAAGCCCTGGCAGCAGCAGCAGCAACTCGCTGCTGAGGCCTCCGCACAAGGGCGCGAGACACCGCGACAGGAGATGGGCAAGCTCCTGCGGAGGCCTCAAGGCTGCTGCTGCTGCTGCTGCTGCTGCTGCATCTGCTGATGCAGCTGCTGCTGCTGGATCTCCTGCTGCTGCTGCTGGATGTGCTTCTGCTGCCGCTGCCTGCCCAGAGATCCTTCTCGGAGCCCTTTCTCCCGATGCAGCGGCTCCCTGCTGCGATGCTGCTCGTCCTGCTGCTGCTGCTGCCGCTGTTGCTGCTGTGGAATTAGGTGGTCGTGTTGTTGTTGCTGTTGCTGCTGCTGCTGCTGCTGCAATGGCATCAACAGAGGCAGCAAACAGACGGCACAGCTGGCGGCAGCGCGTCCGCCCGTCTTCCGAAGGCTGTTCCTGTTGCTGCTGCTGCAGCAGCAGTTGCTGCTGCTGCTGCGGCTGCTGCTGCTGCTGCTGCAGTGCGCGTATAAGGTAAGTGGAGGTGAGATGTCTGTACACCCGAAGGTCGACAACCCCTACGCGGGTAAAGGCACGCAGCAACTGGGCAAGCTCCCCAGGATGCAGCAGCAGCAAGTGCTGCTGCTGCTGCTGCTCTTGCTGCTGCTGCTGCTGCTCGTCCTCCTGCTGCTGCTGCTGCTGCCGCAGCAGCCGGCGGTGCTGCGCATCGAGGCGGAAGAGATCCTGTAGCTTCCGAGCTGCCTTCACAAAAAGCCTCTGCACAGCAGCAGCAGCAGCAGCAGTAGCATCAGCAGTATTAAGACCAGCGCTGTTTGCTGCTGCTGTTGATGCTGCACCTGCTGCAGGTTGCTGCCGCATCTGCACGAATGCTGCAGCAAAACAGTCGAGAAGCAGCACCAGCTGCTTCGGTGGCAGCAGCAACTCCTTTTGCTGCTGCAGCGCTGCAGCAGCAGCACCGACGAAGCCGGGGCAGCTAATGCCCATACACCGCAGCTGCTGCAGCAGCTGCAACAGCAGCACTTGCTGCTGCTGCTGCTGCTGAACTTCAGAAATGAGCTGGTCGCCCGGAAGCATTCTACGGCTGCCTTGCTGGACCACCCCACGGTGATGTGCCTGCTGCTGCTGCTGCTGCTGCAGCAACCTAAGAGACAGCAGCAGCACCTGCCGCACGAGGCGCAGCAGCTGCTGTACAGCAGCAGCAGGCGTCTGCACTCTTCGTGCGTCCTCAATCCCTTCTTTAATCGCAGAGCGCTGCACTGCTGCAAGTGTTGCTGCTGCTGTTGTTGCTGCTGCTGCTGTTGCTTCTGCTGCTACTGCCACTGTGCTGGGTGCTGCGGCCGCTGTGTCTAGTGCTGATGCCGCTGCTGCTGTTGTAGATAACCCCTGCTGAGCTGCTGCTGCTGCTGCTGCTGCTGCTGCTGTTGTTGTTGTTGTTGCTGCTGCTGCTGCTGTTGCTGTTGCTGTTGCTGCTGCTGCAGCTTCCTTAGTGCGCCAACGAGGGCCCCACTGCAGCAGCAGCTGCTGCTGCTGCAGCAAATGTCTGTAAGGGCGAGCCAAGCGAGTGATGCTTCGGAGCAGCTCAACCAGATGCTCCATCTGCAGTTGCTGCAGTTGCTGCTGCTGCTGCTGCAGCAGGAGCTGCTGAGGTCCTCTTAGCAGCATCTGCAGCTCCTTCGGGCTGATGGTGGTGCTGCTGCTCCTGCTGCTGCTGCAGTGGCGTCGTGCTGCTGCCTGAAGCAGCAGCAGCTGCTTCTCAAGCTCTGCAACAGGCGTTGAATCAGCAATTGCATCTATTGCTCCTGCTTCATTTGTTGCTGCTGTTGCTGCTGCTGCTGCTGCAGCGTCCACACCACCAGCAGCCGTCCCCCCGGGTCTCCGCTGCTCTGTAGCAGTAAGCTGCTGCTGCTGCTGCTGCTGCTGCTGTTTGCTGCTGCCGGCACTGCATTCGCTAGATTGCCCTGCCTCAGGAGGCCATCCCCTGCTGCTGCTGCTGCTGTCACTCCTGCTGCTGCTGATGTTGCTGTTTCCGCTGCCGCTTATGCTATCGCTGCTGCTGCTGCTGCTGTTGCTGCTGCTGCACTGCCAGTGCATGTACACCTCACCCCTACAAGGCCTAGAAGATACAGTCTTCGCAGCATCCTTTAACAGAAGGAGGGCCCCCACAAGAGGGGGCCCCCTAAGAGGGGCCCCCCCTATATTGGGGGCCCCCCTTAGAGGGGCCCCCTTCAAAGGGGCCTCTATTAGGGGGGCCCCCCTTATAGGGGCCCCCTTTAGAGGGGCCCCTATAACGGGGGGCCCCCTTAGAGGGGCCCCTATTAGGGGGGCCCCCCTTAGAGGGGCCCCTATTAGGGGGGGCCCCCTTAGAGGGGGCCCCCTTGGCCCCGCAGTCTTAAAGGAGAATAAACTTTGCTGCATAAATGTTTAATTTTTATTTGCTGCAGTTGCTGCTGCAGGTTTGCAGCAGCAAAGAAGGCAGACTTTGAATGGTAGCCTCGGGGGCCCCTGGGGGGCCCCTGGGGGGGCCCCTAGGGGGCCCCCAACTGCAGCAGCAGCAGGGAGTATTTCTTTGCTCAGATTTGTTATTTAGAAGAAATTTAATATAATTAAATTATTTATTTTATTATTCTGTATATGTTGTTATACTGTTATTATTATTTTATTATTTTTGTTATTGTTATTCACCATTATTATTATGTTATTATTATTATTATATTATTATTATTATTATTATATTATTATTATTATATTATTATTATTATTATATTGTTATTATTATTATTACTTTATTAGCGAAATGCACTGCGAAGAAAAGGCTGAAAGGAGTTTATGTATAGATGTGTATATCTATAAAATGCGTATTAAATATATATATATATATATATTATGTGTGTTTAATATACATATATATAATATATACAATTTTAAATATATACAATATAATATATATACAATATATATACATATTATATATATATTGTTGATATGAGAGGTGTTTGTTCTGTTTAAGAAGGGCAAGAGAAATAATAAAGAGCGGATGAAAAGCTAAGCAGATTTGCTGCAGATGTTTTATTTAATTACACAGAGCAGCAACAATAGCAGCACCTGCTACTGCTGCTGCTGCTGCTTATGCTGCTGCTTGTTTGGCATTAGGGCTTAGAGTTTAGGGTTTAGGGTTTAGGGTTTAGGGTTTAGGGTTTAGGGTCTAGGGTTTGTACAGAGAGTTAATTGGGGTGTACACACAGCAGCAACGCGTTGCTGCTTTTGCTGCTTTCTTTGTCTGTCTTTACGTACAGCAGAAAACAAATAGTAATAATAATAATATTATTATTATTATTAATATATAATATATAATAAATGAATATAATAATAATAATAAATATATTAATACTCAAACAAATAAATATAATAATGATAATAATAGAGATCCTTTTATTAATAATAAATATATTATTAAAAATAAATAAAATAATACAAATAATAAACAATTACGAGAATAATAAAAACTACAATAATAATTAATAATAGTAATTAATAATAATAATTATTATTAATAATATATTTATTTTATATTATCATTATATTACTGTTATATTTATTATTGTTTATTGTTTAAATCAATAATAATTAATAAATATTGTTATTATTATTATTTATTATTATTATATTATTTTCTTTATGCTCATAATAATGCTGTACTTCTTTCATTTATATAAATGCATGCAGCGGATATTACTATAAAGAGCTGCACACACCAGCAGCAGAGAGCAGCAGCAGAAAGCAGCAGCAGAGAGCAGCAGCAGAGAGCAGCAGCAGAGAGCAGCAGCAGAGAATAGAACAGCAGCAAGGATGTTTATAAACAATAAAGAGATAAACCCCTACACATGACAATTAATAAGCTCTACACCTAAATATACTGATAAATAAATAAATAAATATATATATATATATATATATAAATGTGAATATATACATGTAAATATATATATATATATAGATGCCTATATGCATATATATGTTTAGACCTCTCTCTGTCTGTCTCTCTCTCTCTCTCTCTCTCTCTCTCTCTCTCTATACATATATATATATATATATGTATATGTATATGTATATGTATATGTATATATATATATATATGTATACATACAACACATGTAAATACATACATATATATATATATATGCACGCATTGTAATTAATAATATATATTTATATACATATAGATGTATATTTAAATCTGTATATATATATGCTTATATGCACATCTAAATCTGCATATACATACATACATATATACATATATATATATTTATATATATATATATATATATATATATATATAT